GCTCTGTTTTTTATTTGAGAGAATTAGAGTAAAATTTTACTCTGGTGTTAGAATGACAGTAAAATTTTACTATCAAGAGGTGGTCATTGCCAAACACTTCAGCCGCCACAAACACTGTCTTCCTTTTTTACTTTTGCACAGAGTAACATTTTACTTTTAGCTTCAGAGTCTCATAGTTTACTTGTTTTTCAGAGTAAAATTTTACTTTTATACAGAGTAAAATTTTATTTTTGTGTAGAGTCTAACATTTTACTAGTTTTTCAAAGTAAAATTTTACTTTTAGCTTCAGAGTCTCACAGTTTACTCGTTTTTCACTTTTAGTTTCAGAGTGCAACATTTTACTCTTATTCAGAGTAAAATTTTACTTTTATACAGAGTAAAATTTTACTCTGAAATACACAGTGAAGATGGCTTAATAGGAGAGCTGATAGATATGATGGTAATATAATAAAAGAAACAAGTGTTAAAATATTATGGAGTTTTGAAAGTACTTATATAATTCTTGTCATTTTGAAAGACAAATTAAATAGTGAGGGGGCTATCACCAAATCCCTCATATAAATACACATGTATATATAATATGATATATAAATTATATATACGTATAAAAAAATATTCAAATACCGTAGAAAAAGTCTCATTTCGGATAAAGAAATTTTTTTGGTTAAAAAATAAAAGAGAATGTAGGATGATAAAAGAATGAGATACATATCTTTTATATTGAAAAGTTGTTTTATTATTTATAAAATAAGATATATATTTTAAAAGTGCTATGATAAACAGAATTTTTCACAAAAATAAGAGGTTATGACCCCTCTAATCTTTTTCTAATTCCATCCTTAGATGTGTCCATAATAATAATAATATTATTATTATTATTATTATTTTATTTTTTTTGTACATAGAAGCCGTAGCATGGAAGAAAGAGAGTCTTGCTTATAAAAAGACTTAGGGTTGTTTGGGGTGTCTTAAATAAATGTACTTTTTGTCTTTTTGAATTAAAAAGTTGAGAAAAAAAATATGGATGTTTGGGTTAACTTTTTGACTTTTTATGAAAAAATGTGTATTAAAAAATTGTATAAAGAAGTGTGTATGAGAAGATTAGAGATTTGTGGGCCACAGCCGTACAATCTGCACAGTCGAAATGGGAGTAAGAAATTATTGGCTACTTTTCGGGCATTGCACTGAACGGTTTTGTTTGGCTCGTGGGGGTCATCACGGATCTCATTTTGATAATCTGAACGTCAATATATAGAACTCGTCGAGTACTATATGTTTATAAAAAATCACGTTGATCGAATATCGATAGCTATCTGATCATATTTGTTTTTTTTCAATCGTTAATTATAACACCATCCATTTTTTTATACAAAACTGATTTGATCATGTAGTTATCGATATCCGAGCAATGTGATTTTTTATAGACATGTAGTACTCGGCGAATTCTACACATTGAACGACTCAGATTATCAAAACGGGACACGTGATGGCCCCCATGGGCCGAACAGCAGTGTGTGAAAATTGCACCCAAACTGTGCAATTTTTGTTAACAAACGCAGTACAGCAACTGAACATACATGATATCAAAGTTGTCCTTTGTGTAGAAAATTAATTTTTTAATTTTTTTTAGTGAATAGTGATAACTTTTTAACTTTTGGAGCAACTTTTTAACTTTTTAGAGAGATGCCAAACTTGGCCTCCTTTACTGCAAAAACTATTTACCATAAACAAATTCTTTTTATCCAAAATAGTTAAATTTTTTGGACACATAGTGTTCCATAATGTGGACACATAGTGTTCCATAATGTTTTAATTGATAGAAAAAGATAAGGACTCACGATTTATGTTGAAAATGAAAGTTTTTATTGGTAAAGAGAGATAAGGACTCACGATTTATATTAAAAATAGAAAAACAACATAAAAGATAAGTAGTTAATAATTAATTTAAAATATGACCACATAATGTTTCAAAATTATTAAATAATTTTTCTACAATGATTACTCTTTTCTCATGTTCAACTCACCACCAACGGGTTGTCACCGCCAACGGCTTGTAGCCCAACGGACTCTAAAAGAACAATTTTCATTTCGCCAAAAGACACTACAAAAGTGGAGTTCCCTAAACTTTAGAGCTAACATTGAAATAACTATAATTATAGTTATAAAATTTTGTAGCCATAGTACGATCCTGTTTCTAGAACCTTGAGACTTATTTGCTTCTTTTTTTTATTACAGAATGAGTTAAAAGAAAATTAATTTTTTTTTCATCATATACACAAAACACACATGTACATATATATGATATATAAATTACAATAATGATTCATCCCCCATTTTCTCCCGACCCCCTTTGACCCCCTCTCTCTCTCATTAGTTACATTTTCTTTTTCTTTTTCTTTTCTTTCCTGCTCCTCCAATCACCACCCGCCACGTGACAAAAGGGGGTGAGGGGTGACCCCCAAAAGGGGGTCCCAAGCATTATTCTATAAATTATATGTACATAAAAAAAATTAAATACTATAGAAACAATTTCTAATAGAATGAATAAATTTTTTTTTATGTAAAATAAAAAGAGAATTCAAAATGAAAAAAGAATGACATATATTTTTTATATCGTGGGCCATTTTGTATATAAAATGATATATATATATATATATATATTTAATTGACAGAGATCCCCTCCAGACAAACAATAATGTTCAAAAAAATAGAGAAGCCATAACCCCCCATAATTTTCTCCTAGTTCCATCCCTGTTCATATTCAGCAATCAAAATCGGCTCAAAAAAAATTTCTTATTATTCGTTTTACATATACATGTAAATGTATATATCTATATAAAAAAAAACCAACTACTATTTTTCTCCAAACGTCCTCTAATTTATGCTCGTCATTTTTCTTTAATAATTTTAAAATTATTTAATATATATTATCATTATCAATAATTTTTTATTTTATTTGATATTGAAGGTAAAAATCTTATAATCCTCATCCAATTCGATGATGAATCCCTTTCAATGACTCCACCTAAGATCCCGATTTAACAAGAAATTATTACACACCTGTTAATCCTATCTATTTATTGGGGCCAAACCAAGGAAAGTGTTCATCGATTAACACCTAAAAAGAAGACCATCCCATGCCAGCTGAAATCCCAAGGAAAACGACCTATCAAACGCGTTTGTCTGCTTTGTATCTTTATTATTGTCCTCATGCTCTGTCACTCAATCTATAATCTGAAACATAACAGTTGAAAAAAACGGTTGACTTTCATTGAGAAATGGCCCAACCACCCTAAGAATCATAAACCACAGGAGTAACCCTATCACACAATGAAAATAAATTTGTTCACACTTTCAAAGCGTGTGAATAATACACAAATTTTATTTTAATTGATACCAAAAAATATAGACCTTATTTTTCACCAATTAAAAAGTGTGTATTATTCACACACTACCGATCGTGTGAGAGACGCAATTGAACTCTATACCGTGGGAGCCGCATGTGATCTTTTTCCCCTAGCCCCGGGCAACAACTACTCTACATTTTCCATCGGCCTCTATTTGATTGATGTAGCTTTATGCTTTCATTGCCCTCCACCCCATAATTTTCGGACTTCAGGGCTTACAAGCAATGACAGTGCATCATCTCACAAATACAATACATGGATTTACCAACACCACAACCCATAGCAGGGCAAGGACAAGAAGAATCTGGTTGTGGTCAAATTCCTCAACTATCAACATCTTGGTGCATTGACCTGAGGAAAAACCAACCTTCAAATATGACAATAGATAATTTCAACCACTCTTGACCCTCTAGAGCCCTACCACCAACAGTGTCCGGGGAAAGCAGCACCTTTCACCAGATCACCTTTCCCAAAAACAAAAAACAAAAAGCCAAAAAAGTTGTTCATCATCAAAAGGGTTGGTCCATCATCATCTAATTTCCTCCTAGTTTCCTGTTTCAAGTTTCATTCAATCAAACAAAGGAATTTGAAGGAACTAATGTCAACATTCAAGTCTTCTTTGTGGTAAAGTGATGCAGCAATGCATTTCTCCAACAAACACCAACCTGTTCAGCATAGAGGCCATCATTTCCAGTCATCCCGACTGCATTCATAACATTCAGTACAGTAAATAGGTTCCTGTTCATTTTCCTGGGATCAAGAATCCCTTATTATTACCTTTAGCTTATGATTAAGTTACTATTTACCATTTCTATAATTGTTGTGGTGTTTATATTTATCTTGAACATCGTTCCACTTGTAACGGACTTCAGCAGCATGCTTACCACTGAGGCATACTAATTTGAAGCTCCAGAGATGTGCAAATCCAAATAACCAGGTTACTAAAACAAAGCTCCAGTAAGGTTCAGAATCACTCAGCCATAACAAAGCCACCCAATTTGGATATTTTGTTTTGGACAACTTGACTGCATAAACCATGAAGCTCTACAAGGGAAGGCACACAACAATGGATCAGAATAATACCAAACAGACCAATTACTTTGGCAGAAATTGTAACTTACCATAGTCAAGGCTGCTTGTTTCCAGAAAAATACCACCCAACAATTACCCCGCAATTCATTCATAGTCATCTTCAAGTCCAGAAAGGGTAAAAGATCTAGCAATAGAGTTACAGGACCTTCAAGGTTTTGATTAATAATTTGAGATTTAGTACCTAACCTTTCATGTATCTGCAGGAAACATCAGCTTACTTGGCTCCAACATAAATCACTCCCAATGTCGTTCGTTGTATAGTTTAAGAAATTCTTAAGCAACGGCACCAATAGCCAATCATTGAAAGCATCATTTGTAGTATTTCAGAGAACTTTTAGGCACTAAAGCACCTATTCATGAGAAACCACAAACCAACCAGGAATGCAATGAAGCAGTGAGTAATTAGCATAGAAAGGACCCAAACCTACTGACATTGTTTAGTATCTCTTTAATGGCTCCAGAACTTGTGAATGAATTTCCCCATGTCGTATGCCTGTTCTGTAGTCTGTCAGACCTGGCAAGTATTATCATATAAAGCTGCAAATACTACAGATAATCTTAAGGTGCTCTCGATCCAAAAAATTTACAACATCCAACTTCATCAAAATGACCATAGGATATATAAAGTACCAACATAATTTATTGCAGTAAAGAACTTGCTAACATTGGACCGAGACCCTTCAGCTAACTCCCAGAAATGGGCAAAAAAAAAGGAACCAGCAGTTTGACCTTTAGGAAGAATTGGCAACCCTGGTACCAGGAGAACCACTACAGACCACATTACATTGGCTACATATTCCTAGATGCTGAACCATATGTAGGAAGGTACGATTACGCGAAAATTAAGTCACCATTGGGTATCACTTACATAACTTATGCTCCATGTAAAACAGCAACCAGCACTACATTCAATGCAAACCGAAACATCCACAAGGAGGATACAGATAATCTAAACTATTCCCACTTGTTGATCCCTCTCTTTGTTATCCATCTCTTTGCTTAGACATCCTTCATCCTGCTCGTAACTGCAACAACTGATTACAAACAACATGCACCGAGTTCGAAGGCAAATAAAAAAGAAAAAGGTCCCTGCGAAGGATGCAGATGTCCACAACTATTTACACCTGCTGGTCCCATTCCAACTAAAACAACAAATCCAGTTTCAGGTTCATAGAGCAGCCACAAAGACTAGGTCAAAATCTTCTTCTTTTCCCTCGGGAGCTGTCATCAAACCCATCATCATGCCACACCTGCCCAGCATGCCTGTAGTTTCCTTCTTGCTCTTCAATGCTTCTTGTCCTCCTAGATGCATTTACAGATCTATTCTTAATCCGCCCATCAAACTCCCTTTCCCTCAAATTACTTCTTTCAATGAATTCTGAATCAGCTTCCGGGCAGAACCTAAAAGGCCTCGGACCATCATCATCTACACGAAAGCGAAAATTCTCAGCATCTGCACCTTTGAAAGGGGGCCTAAAAGAACGAACAGGTCCCCGTCTCTCACCACAATTTCTCCTCTCATCACCATTTCCATCGCCATCAAGCTCATGAAATCTACCAGAATGCATGGGCCCCCCAAAATATTCATCAGTATCTGTCCTTTCTCGAGGATCTAGAATATCAAATCTCCTATTGTTCCTAGGTAAAACCCTATCAGATGGGCTCCTCCTATTGGGTATAATAGACCTCAGATGACCATGATCTCGTCCAGATTCCATATCCCTCAAATCATTAGCAGGTCGGGAGATAAAAGGAGGAGAACCATGCCTTCTCGCCAATCTCTCTTCAGGGAAACAAGGGCGATCAGGAGATCTCATCCTTTCCATCCGGTAAATAGCTGGAGATCTCCTATGCATTAATTCAGGAAGTCCATTAAATCCATCTGGGGATCTTCTTCTAGGAGATGACCATGGGCCAGGGGAGCGAGTTCGGGATCGTATTGGAGATTTTGACCGAATTCTAGGAAGACCCCTTCGCTGGACAGAAGAAAAGTTTCTGCTCCCTCGGGCAAAGCGATTGTCCACTCCATCATATGGAGGTTGGCGACGAGTAAATGCAGGATCCATAATATCTTCTGGCAAACCCCTCGCGAACTTTTGACCACGCCTGAGTCCAACCATATCAGATCCATCTTCACCAATGCATCTACTTGGGCTAATGTTTCTTGGAAATCTACGAACCATTTGCATGCCACGTGTTGCAGGCCCATCCCTACCTCCAGGAGAGCGCCTCCTCGAGGACAGATGACGAAATGAAGGCAATTCATCATTTAAAGGCTTCCTTCCTCCCCTACCTGTACCTATAATAGCACCATCTGGTGCAACAATATAACCATTACAATGAAGCTCTGCATCAGCAGTAGCATTAGAATCACGTTTATGCCTAGAAAACCGATAATCGGCCGGACCATTGTAAATCTCTGAAGCAAAATCACGATCAGAATCCCAATCACCGCGTAGAGTATCTAACCGGCTGGAACCCCTCCCTCTGCCACGCATAAAGTTCAGTCTAGAGTTTCTGAGTGGCTGATCTTGAATCCTCTCTCTCATAAATTTGCGGGGACCATCAATGTATATCTCTTCTCTGAAATGCAAGGAAAAAAAAAAATTCAAAATAGTGTACCACTGTACTTAAAAGAACAAAAGACAGAATAGAACATGCTTGGTAACGTTTATGTTTATAGTTTTCCACCTATATTTGCAAAAAATTTGAAAAATGTAAACCAAAATTTGCTTGGTATCTATTTTCGTTTTTAAAATCTTGTGAGTATACTAAATTTACTCAATTTTTATAACCACAAAAAGCTGGTTTGACTTGCTTTGAAAAAAAAAAGTCTCTTTCATTCATTCCTCCTCCCACCCCATCTGGCCACCGACCACCGCTCATCACATCTGGACACCTCTTTCACTTGTTTTCAAAACAAGTTTTATCACTTGTGTGTACCAAGCATGATTTTCTTCGTTGTTTTTATCAAAAATGAACATAGACATGTTTAATGTATTTTGCAAACAAAAAACAATACACCGTAAGCGTTAGCAGACGACATCTACAAAAACAAGCAACAACTAGGCAGGAGTTTATCACCTATTCCCCCGTGGATGTACTTTGCCACCCTCAAAATCAACATATCTATCTCTTCCGCTTTGTGATGGCAACGACCTGCCTGGAATATAACTTGTTTTACTAGGAGACACGTTAGTAGCTCGAGGCAAATTTATAATCCGGCTCCGGTTGCCTCCAGTGTTTACATCTTTAGCACCATCATTACCATTTAGAAATGGATCAGTCTTGGGCATAGTTGAATCAGGCTTTTCAAGAGTGTCAGTTGTATTCCCATCTGCAGGCTGAACAACTGTTGTTACAGTACCTTGGATAACATTAGTGGCTCCAGCAGATGATATTTCTGTTTCGTGACCCGTCTCAACATCTTTCCCTCCTGATCGATCAAGCAGTTTCCTTTGAGTGGCCTTTATAAACCTCTTTTCGTCAGATTCAGCTCCTGCCACTTCTACTGTCAATGGTTCTTGCAATGAACCATCTTTATCTACACCTTGTTCAGCTTTCTCATTAACAACTGCATCAACACACTCTTTGATATGATCATCACTTGTCTCAGGATGCTCTTCCAGTTTTCTTTCATTTTCATCAACTCCAGATTCTGTAATAATCCCTTCGCCAAGAGAACCTGAATCCACATTTTTTATATCACAATCACCAAAATTAACATTTTCTGCTTCTTTTTTCTCAACAACAGGGCCTTCGCTGGCAGTGTGCAATTGTTGTTCTCGGACCTCACCATCTTCATATTCATCATCTTCTTCACGAAATTGTCTATCATTTGCATCCTCCATAGTAACTACATCATGATTACCATCTGACTCACAATCAGAACTATAAGAATCTTCAAGCATGTCAGTCAATATGTTGAATTTGTCTTCATCACTTAAAGATCCCTCACCATTTCCACGTGAATTTGGAGGGAATTCATTCATCAATTTCAATCTGCATGTCTCAGGATCCTTAGCATTTAAATCTTTTACACCAGAAGTTTCTATCATCCCATCACATATAGTTGATCCTTTACTTTGATTTTCCATGGATGTAAAAACTGTTTCTAAAGCAACCTGCTCAACATTATTGCACCTTTCATGAGGTGCCACATTATTAATGTGGACTTCTTTGGTACAACCAGAATATTCTGGTTGGTTTGACATATCCCCACTCATAGACAACTCAGTCGAACAAGTAGGCAACCCTGAAGGGCTTGGCTTCTGGGGTTTTACGGCCATCTCCATCATAGAGGAACAGTTATTCTCACATTGTACAACCTTCCCATCTGATTGGTGTGATGTCTCTTTAGTTGTTCTCTGTGTTTCCAGATTATCCTGGACTAGCTCAGACTTTACTGATTTAGGTTCAACTAACTTCTGGGGGCTAGTATTTGACAATTTAAGAGTTTCTAAACTGCACCTCTCAGCCACTTCATGCTTCGAAGTCCTAAAATCCAATGATCTTGTAGGATTCCCCCTTGCTTCATGCTTAGCATTCTCATCATATGGTTCTGATTTTACAGTCATACCACCAATAGAGCTCATGTTTCCAGTTGGTACTAACACTCCATGTAAGTTTGAAACTACTTTAGCAGATGAACCAGAATGTTCTCCACTGCAATTTGATGGAAGAAAACAAGGTGTACTAAGTTGCAGACCAAGGGAATCCTCATTTTTATATTGCTGGCTAGAGCTTAAGGATGATAAAAGGAAATTGGATCTCTTCTCACCCCCTCCAAGGATCTGTTTCCCCAAGTCAACACTACTCCCAAAAAATCCGGATGAAGATATAGAAGGCTTTACATCGTGTGTACCAGTACAACCCATTGCATTTGAACCATCAAAGCCAGCAGCAACTCCTTGACCTGTAGCAGTATCACCAATAGAACCCTCCCAAGCATCCATTGTAGTGTTGAGATCCCAATTAGATCTGTTAGCATGTAGACAGTCTCTATCATTATACAAATTAAGATCATCACTCCTGCATTTGGTGATGGCCTTTGCTTTGCCCAACGACAAATAGAATGAAGGATCTACTTTCTCTGGAATCGTGCATTCACTATTCTGAACCGCCAAATCTGAAATATGAGGTTCCTTCAGTCCTAATGACAATTCAGCATCCCCTGAAACTGTAGAAAGTTCAAGTTTGCAATCCCTTTCAGCTTTTTGTTCGTTAGGTTTTCCCTTTCCATCATTGACTGGTAGTGTTTCACTAGCTGCTAAATGCAGCTCAGTATTTTCCAAAATCTTCAGGCACGTAGATTTCTCAGTCAGCAGAAGCTTCTTTTTGTTGTCCATATTATCCATGGAACCCAAACAACTTGTGAAACTTGGTTCCTCAAGTTTAACTGCAGAGAGGTTAACTGAGTAAACATTTGAATCAGCAGGGCCCTCCTTTCTCCACTCTGGAAAAGAACTCTTGTTCGCATCGGATAAGCCAGGGGAATTTGTTATAACGCTAGCATCAGAAAGTGAAGACTCTTGACTTGGATTAGATTGTTCTTTATGTAGCGAGTCATTATCTGCACGACGAGTAGATGGTTCCTGAGGAGGAGGTGAAAGAGGCCTCACCAATGGAAACCTCCTTTTCTTGATAGGAACACCTGCAGAACAATTACTAGACTGCCGGGCAAGGACCCCAGTCTGCCAACAGAAGATTAATTAATCAATTGAGAAATAACAAAACTTTACATTAATCTAATCCTATTTATTTAGCAATAACATAGAAATCAAATCAACACCTCTTCGTTTCCTGAAACCGACATGACTTGACGATTTTCCAATTGCAGAGATCCTAGCACACTCTCCTATATAAATAAATTTCAACCTGTACTCTGAAAATTGGGAAGTTGCTTTCAAACACTCATTTAGACGTTGTTCAAATTATGTCATCTGTCCTCTCTAAAAGACTAGGCAATTCACAGCAGTCTTCAAACTTGGAACCTTCAAACAGTTGAACAATTTTGCATCAACTATAAGCACCCTGCAGGCAGAAAAAGAAGAACAAACCAACCAAAAAAACCACATCACAAATTCATTCCCAATGAAAAGTAAAAACAAACCCATTACACAAACACAAAGTTGGGGGGAAAAGGGTACAGAACAAAAGTTTTGATGAACACCTTAACAACATCGAGCAAATTTACTTACCCAAAAAAACATCAAGGAGATTGCCAGTGGCCAAAAGAGTCAAGTAAGAATTTCACTATCAGTAGTAGCCAAAAGATCATGCTATGTATGTGCTAATATCATATTACTATCAGTACGCACAAATCAGAGATATACAAACTTATTTGGGATAACTCTCTTGAAATATCCCTAAAAAGCTAGATGATTGATGTTTAAGTAGATCCCCAGAAAACAAAAAAAAAAATTAAAAAAAAAATGATCAGTAAATGAGGCAGCCTATAATTTACATTTAAGACAGATCGAGAGCAAGCTCACCTTTACTTTATGTTCACGACAAGTCATTCTCCACAAACATATACATTTGCAAAAGGAATAAACTCCCACTGACATCAATCTCCAACAAAAGCAACTTCCCTAACCCTAAAGATCCATTTCCTTAGACCATAAAATTGCCGTGAAGCTCAAGAAAATTCTCGATTCCTCTTTAAAGAAATTTAAAAAAAAAAAAGAGTAAAGATCATCGCTTTACACAAGAAAAGATCCAATCTTTAATCTTTTCTAGGGAAAAATTCTATTCCCACAAAAGAAAAAGATCCAAAACGAAACAGAAGCTTGAAATTTGATTACAAGACTCTGCTTTTTCCTGTAACACATAATCAAGCACCGACACCGACAAATTCAAGAGATATATACATATACGCGTGTATATAGAAGCAAAAGATGTAAAATTTCATGCATTTTCTAGCTAAAAAGCACAGATCATATCAGAAAAAAAAATTTAAAAAAATTTAAAAAAAAAAATTCCCAGTCATGCAGCATCTGAGCAGATGATGAAGAAATTACCTGAGAACAGAGATATAGATAGAGAGATTGGGGAATTGTAGTTTGGTCTGCAAGTATAGATAGAGAGAAAGAGAGAGAGAGAAAGGGGGGGGGGGGGGGGGGGGGGGGGGGGGGTTGATTAGGGTTTGGAGGTGGGATCTCAATTATTAGGGTCTATAAATTTCAATTATTAGGGTCTATAAAATAAAGTAGTAGTTGCTTTTTCTTGACTTTTTAATGGGGGTCGTGGCGGTGTTGGCACGCTAAGTCAGGTATGGTGGTGAAGTAATGTGATGACACGTGTATTTTGATCCTCGAAATGCGTGAGACGTACTCAACTACTGGCCGGCGTCGCTGGCCTATTCCCACCCAATTGTCAATAAAGATTGAAGACCACCCACCTACCAAGATGGGATTAGATTCCAATTTCTACGAGGGCCAAGATATTTTAAAGAGAATGGATTCGCTACGGTTGGTTTGGCGGTTTAGGTATTCCAATAGATGGAAGTTTTTCAAATTTGGAAGGTAAATTTTTAATTCAAACTTTGGTTTTATTTGTCAAAACTTAAAAAAAATTAAAAAATTATTATCTTATTTAAATCACATCATCTTTTTTAAATCACATTACATCTCTATCACATCACTTCAAATTCAATCTATATTTTATAAAAAGTCAAAAAGTACAATTATTTATGGGTACTTTGGGAAGATTGGTAAAAAATCAGTTTTTTGACTTTTTAACTTTTTTAGCCAAAAAAAAAAGGGCAACTTTTTTACCCAAAACAATCCAGTTTTTTGTCCAAAAAAATCAAAAAATCAGCTTTTTACTAACTTCTCAAAACACCACTTAAACCATCTCAAACCATCCCTTTTAGGATTCGTTTGGGAAGTAGGTTGGCTTTTGACTTTTTTAGTTATTTTAGACTAGGGCTAAAAAGCTTCGTTTGGGAAGGGTTTTTTATTTTTTTTATTTTTTTGAGTTTTTTGTGAGAGAAAAAATGTATTGATTATGAGTTAGATGTGATATTTTATCTTATTTGACTAAAAAAATTTATTTTATTTTTTGTGATTATTTTAACCAAAAAAATCTAACTTTTTTTCTTCCCAAACGGAGCTTTAGTAACATAATTTTATACGAAAGTTTAAATTTTCTTACCTTTTTAATTTATCCAACTTTGTTAATGTTCTCTTAAATACTTTTTATTAAAAAGTTGAAATAAATACAATTAGATGGGATAATTTTGTTAAACTTTGGCTAATTTATAGGGTTTTATTCTAAATTTATTTTGATAATTCAAATTATTCATTTTATAAAACTCATTAAATAAGCTATATATGTTAAAAATTAAATTGATCGAATATCAATAATTAATTGATTAGATCACATTTGTTTAAAAAAATAATTACTAAGAATAGTTAATAAGCTTTAGAAATCTGTTTACTTTTTCAGACAAATATAATCCGATCAAACGATTAACAATGTTCGATCAACCTAATGTCTTACATAGATAATTTATTCAATGTATCATATAAAATGAATAATTTGAATCATTGAGATAAGCCTACAACCCTTGCGATTTGCGTAAAATACGAATTACCTTCTGTGATTTGAAAAATTATAAATATCCCTTTGTCAAAAAAATCTATTTAACAAAATTAATTGAAAAAATGAATTCTTAACTACTCTCCTATACAATGATAAAATTACCCAAATTATTAATTGAAATAAATTTATCATATCATTAAAAACTGTTAATTGACTTATTGATTCATTAATAAAAGGAATCATTTTTTATGAAATTAAAAATTTTAAAGGCATAATGTAATTTTTAAAATCACAAGAGACAAATTATATTTTACGAAAATCATAAAGAGTGCTTTTGTAATTTACCTTTTTTGTTTTTAGCACTATGTATCACTTAGGAAAATGTCTCGTAGTTCAAATTTTGTGGCTCAAAAGTGGCTCAAATGGCCAAAACGACGTCGTTTTGGCCATTTTTATGTTGTTCTGTACTCAAAATGACGTCGTTTTGACCATTTGAGCCACTTTTGAGCCACAAAATTTGAGCTACGTAGCATTGTCGTATCACTTATGTACAATTGGAGTGGGGCCTTAAGTTGGGGTTTGGGTGTACTTTCTCCAAATTTCATATTCAATACTCAGTAGTTGTAATAAGTTTCTTGAGCTAATTCATATAGGGTGTTTGCTTTGATTTTAAATGGAACCCCTACAAGTAAGCGGTGGGATTGATCTTTCTTGATTAATTGAAGTACGCGTAAACTAATCCTGATACTTAATTATCCAAAAAAAAGTGTTATAAGAGTATGGTATGTTTTAATTTTATTATTTTAAAATTAGATAAATTATATTGCCCTCTTTTAAAATTTAATAAAAATATAATTAATTTTACAATTTTAATATAATTATATTAATGTTTCATACTTTAATAGCAAAGTTAATGAAACTAAACGTTGTTATAAAATTACATTTTTAGCATTTTATATTGTAATGACATGAGATGGTGGAAAGCACTATGAAGAAGAATAAGGGTAGGTCCATGAGGTATATTGATCGAGAGAATTAGAACTGTAAAGCGTAGGTATTTGATTGTGCTGTAGTGCTGGTGGTCAGGGACGGAATTAAAAATAGATTGTAAGAATTATGATTTTTTTGATTTTGTAAACATTATTATTTATCATAAAAATTTTAAAAATATATATATATTATTTTATACATAAAATGACCCTTAATATAAAATATATATATATATATGTCATTTTTCTTTCATCTTTAATTCTCTTTTTATTTACACCAAAAAAATATATTTGTCTTATTAGAAATTGCTTCCATGGTATTTAATTTTTTTTTATGCATATATAATTTATATATCATATTATACACACATGTGTGTTTTGTTTATATGGTGAAAAAAATTATTTTTGTTTTGATCCACCCGATAATAAAATCCTGATTTTGTCCTTGATGGTGGTATTTGTGAAAAGAAAGTGACGATCGTAACGAGTGAATGAGAGGGTGATGTCATGAAGAGATCAATAGGAACGCATTGTCAAAGTGGAGTAAAATTTAGGAAATTGGGGGAAAAAAGGTGCTGATGGTGGTGGTGGTGGTGGTAGTGATAGCAGTAGCTGTTGGTGATGCCATGAGAAGAAAGGTTGAAGAATGGATAGATAAAGAAAAGGCGAAAGGGTGATGAAAAGTGAAACAATCGTGAGTTAAATATGTTAAGTAATTCAGTAAGCAAAGCACTAGCAGAGGTCAAAAGAATGGAAGGAAAGTGAATAAAAGAGGGTGGCGTCATGAGTATAACGACTATGGTGACAGGCTCGGCCCTGGCCATAAGCCCACAAGACCATGGCTTAGGGCCCCTCAAAATAGGCTCAAAATAAGGGCCCCTCCTATTATAAGTTAGTATAATATATTGAGTATGTTTTAAATCTAAAATAAATTAAAAAAATGCCCAAATTAACTTATTTTTTTTTGAACCATTAAAAGGGCAATAGTTAAGGCCCAACCTAACCATTTAAAAGGCCCATTTTTTCTAATTCATAACCCTATCTTCTATTAATCCAACATTCCCTACATTTGTTTGATATAGCACACACCAGAGGCATAGGGATAGAGTAGCAGCAAACAGATAAATTATTTATTTATTTATTTATTTTCTATTCAATTAATTAAATATTTATCTTGTCTTTTGTACAATTAATTGCTATTATAATATTGGTATTTACATCATTAAGAAGAATTTATTTAAGTTTAATAGTTCACATTACATAATTTAAAAGTTTTGTGTTTTGTTAAGTGGTGGTGCTCTTGTTTTGAATTTTGATTTAAAAAAATATTTTGATCTCAGCACAGCAAGCACACGTAATTATTATTATTTTTTTCTATTCAATTAATTAATTTTTTTTCTAAGTATTTTTTGTGATTTTAATACAAATCTCTTGTCATTTACCTTAAAAAAAAATTCATTCAATAAAAAAAATGTAAAGGGCCCCAGAAATTTAGTAGTTGATTATCGACTTTGGGCCCCGAAAATCTCAGGACTGGCCCTGTATGATAGACAGGGACGCAACTAGGATTTAAATTTGATGGAAGCCAAATTAATAAAACATTTACATTTCAAAAAAAATATAGACATATTTTATAAGTTTAATCAAGTGAAATATATTAAAATTATAGACTAAGTTTCTTCATAATAATAATATTAAAAAAAAAAGAAAAAAATGAATAAGCATTCAACCTTAACAAAAATAAGAACAAAAGAAGTTTAACTTTACTTTTCAACTCGACCAACGATCATATTGACAATGCATCAGATTGACAAAATTTTTATTTTTTTATTACTAAAAATAAAGATTGCCACTAATTCCCAAAAAACACATCATGGTTAAGAGATGATTTTAATTATATACAAACAAATGCAAAATTATTTACCAAATAAAAATCAAATCAAATACCCAGTCAATACATCATATTAACAAAATCTAAATTCTTTTATCACTAAATAATAAAAATTGTAACTAGTGTAATTTAAAATCAACCATTCAACCCCCAAAAAATACACAGTTGTTAAAAGATGATTTAATTGCACACAAAGTCAACAATTTCATT